AAGTTATTGGAGGCACTATGGCCAATGATGACCTCTAAGTTCTTGTCGTTGTTTATTGTTCCACCCGAACTTTTAGTTGGTCATTGAGGACCAGAATGGGGATTTATTTGGATAATTTTTTGGGTGTGGTCCAATCCAAAACAGTTTTCCCCTCATTAGTTTGTGAGAGAGAAAAGTGAATACTCGATGGCAGTGCCAAAAAGTCGATGTGAGGTTAAACTCGAAGAAGATAACTTTATGGAGTGAATGTTGTTCGGGAAGAATATCTGGTGGTTGAGTTTTAGCTAGTTAGGGTGGCCCGAGTAAGATTTCCATGGAGGCCAAGACATAGAGTCTTTATGTCCTAGATAGACCTAGGATGTTTTTTGTGGAGGTCGAAATGAAGAATCCATGGTCTAGGATTGATCTGAGAAAGACTTTCATAGAGGGCAGATATAAAATGAAGAGGTTGAGATGAAGACCCTTTATGTTTGGCATAAATCAAAAAGGTTTTTGATGCAGGAATTTTCTAGGATGAGTGGAAGTGAATCTGCGACCTCTTTACGCCCTGGTCTTGACAAAGGTTTGTCAACTCAAACGTCTTTTAAAATCAATAATTTGGCTCTAGAGGTTTCAAGTGCTTGGTTTTCCTATGCCATGTAACATGCTTTACAAAGGTTGTCAAGTGCATACTCCCATAGGCCTATAGCGCGCAATTTCAAGGAGATTGTGTTATGTTGGATAAATAAGTGTCTTTTCATTTGTGTTTGTTCATTATTTTGGTTTATACACTAGATTATGTATTTGGAACGTCTTTTTTTTAGTTCATATACTTCCCCTTTTCATTTTCACTTTTGTGTTTCTCTTGATGGAGTTAGTTCTCGTGCTTTCTGTTTGGAGAAGGATTCATAGTTCGTGCTTAAATGAACTTCATGTCGCGATAGGGTTGCAGTATTGATTCCAAGCCCATATTAGTGCACATTTTGAATACATCATGTCTCATGAGCTTCGTTGGTCTACTAACATCCGTCGAACATTGTGGCTTACCATCTCCTCTCTTATTAAGAGGGATATCCAGATGCTTGATATGATGTTAACTATCTCCTCATCATAGAACGATAATAAGGGTCTCTCAAATACCAACGAGTCTTCAAGAGGTATTATTTTATATGAGTCATTTATTTTTTTCCATTAGGGAAAAACACTTTTTATGTCTAAATGAAAAATGTCATCATATACGATAAAAGATTGAATTTGAGTCTCTGCCTTGTATTGTAGGGAATAATTTATGGGTAAATTGTCCCAAATGGTACACAATTTCCTGTCAACACAAGCTACATCGCATATGATATCCCATCGATTAAAAATTCCTATAGAGTGTTGGCAAGAAAAAAAATGATGAATTAACTTCCTACTATTTGGCTCTGTCATCCTAGGGTTGTCCCTTTGGCATCATTTGTGTTGTGCCCGTACTAGAATTATGCATAAAAGGCTTTGTTGAATATTTCTTTCGCTGAAACACATCATATGGGTTAAAGGTAAAAGAAAAGAAAATCTAGTTGAATTGTTTCCCACAACGGTGCCAATGATCTCATGTAAACCTGAGGTGTTCACCATTGGAGATATGAACTCAAATTCAATGGTGTTTTCTAATTTTTGGTTAATGCCATGAAGTTTCGATCTTCCGTCAAAAAGGTTGTACCTACAAACACTTTAACGCTCAGGTTAGTGCCAATCAGAGGTGATAGATATTTTAGGGTTAAAAAACAAGTACCTGAATTATGAGATAAATGTTATACTTTATATTAGATTTCTAAGATTCCAGGTCTTTATAACCTTCTATTTTGAGACACTTGTCTTTGGGTGTTAATCTTTATTAATATCTAATATTGATCCAATGACCTTTGATATTCATAAGTATTTTTGACCATCTTCATTATGATCCAATGACTTTATTGAGCCATTCGATGGACTTGTCGGTCACACAAAAACACATTTAAAATATGTGTTTTTTCCGTATATTTTAAAAATTGATTTTCATGAAATATGTATAAGCAAACAATATAAGTTATTTCAATTTACTTTTTATAAATTAAAATAGTAATTTTGAAATCCAATAATTTTTTATTTTTGTGACAAAATATTTAAGAGAGTTGACTTCAATATATAATTATAGAATGAGTTGAACCAAACGAGTTTGAATGAACCAACGCTTTACCAAGTTAGATAATCTTCGTTAGCAACATTCACTAATTTTAATTTAAATATGCATTATTAAAGTTTTACCCCATCATCAAAATATCACACACACACACACACACATCAAAATATCACACACACATAAGCACGCACGCGCACACACACACCCCATCATCAAAATATCACACACACACACACACACCATCATCAAAATATCACACGCACGCACGCACACACACACACACCCCACACACGCACGCACGCACGCACGCACGCACGCACGCACACGCACACACACACACACACACACACACACACACACACACACACACACACACACACACACACACACACACACACACACACACACACACACACACACACACACACACACACACACACACACACACACACACACACACACACACACACACACACACACACACACACACACACACACACACACACACACACACACACACACACACACACACACACACACACACACACACACACACACACACACACACACACACACACACACACACACACACACACACACACACACACACACACACACACACACACACACACACACACACACACACACACACACACACACACACACACACACACACACACACACACACACACACACACACACACACACACACACACACACACACACACACACACACACACACACACACACACACACACACACACACACACACACACACACACACACACACACACACACACACACACACACACACACACACACACACACACACACACACACACACACACACACACACACACACACACACACACACACACACACACACACACACACACACACACACACACACACACACACACACACACACACACACACACACACACACACACACACACACACACACACACACACACACACACACAGTTTTTATAATTTTTTTAAATAATTTAAATTAAACTGATTTATTGATATCCATAAAAAGACACACAAAATCATGATAAAATAAATATTTCATAAAAAAATATTTCAATTAATATTTATTTAATTTTTTTTAACTATTGATAACTTTTTTGACAAATATATAATATTAAAATCTTTTTTAAAAAAATACAGAAACAAACTGCCTATGTCTACTTAACACTTGATACATGTTTTAACATTGCTTCTTTAAATTGAAACGCGGTTTTGCCATTGACAATATCTATCACAAATTAATTATTGTACATCACTTTTTATTTATTTTCAAACTACACAATTATTTCCCTCAACCATAGTATTAAAAACAATCAACAAAGGCACACCAAAAAGGCTATACTTGGAGGTGGTAGTGCCTTGGTGGATGTCCAGTGACCAAAATTAGTATTGTTGCACTTATTCCTCACTATATGTGTGGACCACAAACCCTACCATATAATTTCACAAACCAATACCAAACAATTCCTTACTTTAAGAGAAAATTCAGGTATAAATATCATTCACAAGAATGACTTAGTAAAAACTTGATAGTATACACAATTTAATATATTTAGAATATGTTTTGATATTATATTAGGTCTTTGTAAAAATTGATTTTTTGAATATTTTTTTATATTATATTAGGTATTTGTAAAAATCGAATACTGAAGTATGTATTTTTCTTTTTTTTTTAGAGGATGGAAGTGAGAGTTTAATGTTGTACCTTTTTCATTGTAACTAACTCCCATGCTATTTAAAGAACAACAATTTTATTACTAACTTGGTAGTAAAAACTAAAGAGGAAAAGAAAAGTACAACCTTAATGTTGTGTAGGTAAGATGAGAGCATGTGGATTCTATAAGTGTATATCATCATACTAGCTGCAAAAAAATATTCTTTTGTACTATGCACAAGATATTGTGGAGTTTTACATATTATATATCTAAATTATTTGCATGGTTGTTGAGTGAATTAATGGGTATTTAACACTGTGCATTCAAGTTTTGGGACCTATGATACCAGGTGAGGTATAATGAGTGAACTGTTTCATGATTCATCAGTCAATTAATGATTTTTTTCCTGAAATTTTGAACTCAAAATTAGGTTGCGGTAATGAAAAGTTAAAATCGAATCGATTATATAAAATTGATTCAGATTAAAAAAAATAATGTATAAAATTTATGTTTGTTTATATTTGTATAAAAATAGGTTGAAGTATTAATTTAAATTTTAAAATTATTTAAATAAGTAAAAGCTACAAATTTTAATTAAAAATTAAAATAAATTTTAGAAGAAAAATCAATTTTACTTCATAATATCTAAATATTTTAAAATCTATGCAGAAAAAAGACTTACATGGATATAATTGAGTCCACCAAAGGTTCAATAATAAAAATTCATATTCTATATATGGTCAACTAGAAATAGCTAGAATTTCCAAAATGATTTGACATGAACAAAATTGTCAATTACGGCAACCCTTAAATTTAGCCATGGAAAAAAAAACTGATAGCATGAAGCATAAAATTGCAAAAAAAAAAAAATTATTAAGATTAAATGGCAAAGAAATTAAATGTATAATTTCCAAAAATTCAAAATCCTATTTACCTTCTTTACAAGACTCTTTAGTCTCTACAAATCTTGCTAACCAAATAACTAATTCTAATTAATATCACAAACAAATGGAACCTAAATTCTGCTACTATATATCATATAAATAGTTATATCTAATTTCTAGTATATAACAAAGAAATAAATAACTAAAATAAACTATAATATATAAATTTGACTATACTATCTCCACAATTAATTGATTCTTGAACCAAAAACCTGATGAGAAATGAAACTATCTCTTGTTGTGTAAAGGGTTGGATCCTGTAGGCACTCTACGTTTCTGAGACTTGAAATCTCTTCCTTTGCTTCTGATTGGAGAAGAATTGAAAAATGGAATATGAAAAGCATGATGAGATGAAGTAGAAGGACTTGAGAGTTTGATTCTTATAGCATGATGAACTCTTGGTGTGAGGAAAAGAAGAGAAAGGATGAGAAAGAAATGAAAGTGGTTCATGTTGTTTTAAAGTTGTAAGGAAAAAACAAATGGATGAAAATGTGAAATTTGGTGCAAAGTATAGTTTTGTGCTATGTTGTGTATTTATATGGACATGGTTAGGTTTCAACATGTGAATACTAAATGTGGTGTTGTTTATGAAAACACTTGTCAAGTTTTTGTGTGAATTTGGAGTGGTAGGTCATGGATTCATTGGCGTTTGATTATGATCATAAGGTCAATGATAGCTGTGTATGAGTAGGGACTATCATGGGATCAAGGGTGGTGGGGTGGCAATATTTAATGATGGATAGTGACAAAGAAAGTAAACATCAACACAAACTCATAGGAATTGAGTTTATAGTTTCGTTAGACAGTTCGATTGATGAATCGGAAGATCGGAAAATCGGAAAAAAATATATATATATATAATAAAAAGTATAAATTTTAAATTTCAAAATTTTAAAAATGGTAATAGTTCGATCGATTATCTTATATTGTCTATTCTGCATTAAATTCGATCATTTACAAATTTTATTGTTTACTTTTTTATTTTTTTTTTAAATTAATCGTTAGATTAGAAAATAAAGATGACTAAACAAAATGGTAAGAAGTGATTTAACTTTTACTATAACAAATTTTATCTCTTTCCTAACAAGTTTATCACTTACATTTGCCCTAAATATAAAACTATATGTATATATATGTGAATGCTTGAAAGCTAAGGGAAGAGACTTGTGATTACTTGATTTGGCAAAAACTTTGAACTTTATATGAGGACTAATATGCCCCTATGAATTAAAAATGTAAAAAAAATGGAAATCATGATAGGGGTATTTTGGTCATGAAAAGTCAAACATAGCCGACACACTCAATTGGCTTTAATAGAAACAGTATAGAATGAGGGGCATGCGGTATTTAATAGTACTATAGTACTATATAATAAATCAAATCGAATTAATTAACACATTAAACATTTAGAAAATGACAACACATGATATTATTATTATTATTATTAATATTAAGGTTAATATTCATACACATCCTCATAAGTTAGGTTAAGTAGATCCCAATTTAATGGGTCTAAGCTAAGATGTTGATTTTATAAATTGGTCAATTTTCACGGATTTTGGTTCCTTAATTCAATGAAATTTTTTGTGCTTATACATAAATTATAAATATAAATATTGTGATGTGTCCCCTTTAGGGTCTTAGGTACATTTTTTTAATTAATTTTTCAAATATTAATATACCACCAAAGTATTATTTTAAGAACTTAGCAAAGAATTTTGTGTATACATCCAATTGTGATGTTAGTATATATTTTTAAAAATTATTTTATGATGGGGCCAAATAATAAAATATGATTAAATGCTTGTATTTTGTTTATATTATCCTATTGCATAGTTTATATTAATTTTTCAAATGATTGTTGCAATTATTTAGTTTCTAATAAACAAAATATTTTTTTACAAATAAAATAAATTTTGTCTTGAGTCACTATTTAAATTGTTTACATGAAATAATGAAATGAAAGTCAAACTTTCAATTTTGGCTTACCAATTTAAGAAAATTATTTTAAAATAGGACTACTTGTTGAGCTATCATGAGACCAATGAAAAATGAAAAAGCTCTTTTTTTCAAGATCCAAGATCTAATAGATTATATATGGTCTCGTAATGTGAATAGTCATGTGTTAAATCATTGAGAATATCATAAATATAATTAAAATAATACTAATAAGTAATTTAAAAGAGAAGAGGGTAGAAATAGTCAATGATAAATCTAGTGGATGATATATTTTCTTGCACGGGTGAGAATTAATTGGAAAGGTTAAAATGCTTCATTCTTAAGCATCTTCTTCAAAATTTGTTAATTTCGTTTTTAGCTTTTGAGCTTGAGTAAAAAAAAGTGCTTTTGAGCTTAAAATGGAGAACATTTCTCATAGAGTTAATTTAAGTTTGAGTGTTTGATTTAAGAGTAGTCAATAGTCAATAAATCTTAATGGGAAAATGAAGTGGTAGAAAATTAGTAGAGCTTAGAGAGAAAGGGATTGATGTGAAGATTATAAGATGGGAAATTCTTTGACGGAAAGTTACTTTTTGGATCATCTAACAACTTACTAACAAACAAAAAGGGAGTTCTTCTCTTTTTATGAGGCTTATAAAGTGCAATTGAATCATGTAATTGAGATTTCTCGAAGGAGACTATCATTTTCGTATCACTTACCTGAAAACATTGCTACTTGTTTATGGAAGGTTGTTCAACTCTTCTCAACTTTGTTAGGTGTGTATTGTTAATAAAGTTGATTATTTGTTTAAAATATTTTAGGGGATGGTAATGCTGGGGTTAAGAAAGATAATTGATTGAAGTTGGGTAAAGTGTGTTTGGGTTGAGATAAAGTGTTGATAAATAAGTGTAATCTGTGTAAGTTTTATATTGTTTGAAAAAATGAAGATAGAGTATTCTATAAGTGAATGGACTCATACATCTATTGTGTTTAAGGTTTTTAGTGAATATGTGGTGCATCTCTCATTTACGTGTTGTTTTTTAGGTCTCTCCACCAAATGGATTATCTACTCCTTCCTATATTTTTATCAGAAGATTTAACTCTGGATTCTCATACCTATGTTTCAAGATTCCTGGCCATAAAGCTTCCTTCTCAAATAAAACTCTCCATTTTCATTTACACATAAGAGTCTTGTTCAACACTTTTATGTTCTTAACACCTAGGCCTCCAAACTCTTTTAGTTTACACATCTTTTTCCAATTGACATGGTGGATTATTTTTCATATTCCCTGATCCACTCCAAAGAAAATTATTTTGTATTTCGGTTGTGAAGCCAAATAACTAATTAACGTTTGTAACAATAGTTGTACATTTCATGATACATAAAACAAATTTTATATAACTTGTTGGTTAAGAAATAAACCTAACTAACTGCTTGTTAGTTATTTAGTTTAAGCTTTTCATTAACTGATCTATGTACTCGCATGAGCGTGTAGTATATATGGGAATCAACTACTTAACTTAACTATATACTAGCACGGGTGTATAGTATAAGTCAGAACTTACTACTTAACTAAACTGTATACATGCATATATGTATAATAGAAATGAGAATGTTATATTTAAGAATAATCAAACAACATTCTCTAAAATACTAATCATACATAAATCTTATGTGTTCCATAAAATACACAAATATATCAAATTTTAAAGCTATGTAAATCCATTAGCTACTTGTAACTTGTTAGACAATAAGAAACTTCTAACATTTCATTCATTACTTGCTCTCATCAAGTATAACATAGGCTTTTTTATACTTCCTCCTCCATTTAAAATTAGATTCTTGGTCAAATTCATGGCTAATTTGTTGTGAATCATAATGTTCAATGGTTCTAGCATTTTTCATTGGAGCTCTTTTAACTATGAATCCAACTAAGTTGTTTTATATGAAGCAAATGAGCCAACTATGTACTCTATCTCACATGATAACAAACTTGTGTTAGGTTGTTTCTTTGTACACCAAGAAATGATAAACTCGTTGTACATTAAAGTATAGCCTAAAATACTTATTTCATATATTTTGTCACCACAGCAATTAGAATTTAAATAACCAATAAATCCTGCATTCTTTTTCTTTTACACAATCCTTAGAAATAGTAGACCAAGTCGCATGGTTCCCATTACATACTTGAGTATTCTCTTTGCAACCACTAGGTATGACTTTCTAGAATCACTCATGATCATGCTAAATATACTTACTTCGTAGTAGATGTCATGTCTGATATTGCATAAGTTCCTAAATGATTACACAATATTCTTTTATATGATTGTGTAGCGGGAAAACTTGAGATTAAGAAATTGATTAACTTAACTCATATAGTAAGAGTCGCCACCGCGCTTTTATTTCCAAAGAAATGGGAAAAAGAACAAACAAAACCCACAGAAGTTTTAAAACAAAACTAATAAAAGAGAGAAACAAAGGGTAATTGGTTGGTTATGCAATGGGAAGGTGTTAGCACCCAAAACATCTATAGTACTCTATAGGAACCTCTTGAAAGTCTATGTTTGGCTTAAAATGGTGATGTTTGCAAAAGATTGAGGAGATGAGAACAACAATATTTTTTAGGGTTTTTGTGTTTGACAAGACTTCCTGAGCCTCGTGCCTGTGTACCCACAAAGTATAATGGAGGATCAAAACCTCGTAGTTCGTGGTAAAAATAACAAAAGTTTTTTTTGTCATTGATTTCAAATGGAAAAGATAACTTGTCATTTTGAGGAGAAAACTCAACTAATTACCCACAAGTATATGAAAATGGACCTTTGCATCACTATTGAGAAGGGCTCCAACTTGGATAAATCAACAAGTATGTCACTAACTCTCTCAAGTGGAAAATAATCAATATCAAACATCACTATGGGGATAGAAGAATTACATCTCGACTATGAAAATGACTCATATATAATCCTTGAGAAAATGTTTTAAAAGAGAAAAGTGCACAAATGGCATAAAATAGTTTGAATGAGTTGTATATCTTTTATGTCTTTTGAAATTATCTTGATATGATTAAGATGAATTAGCATTTATTCAAGGAAAAGAGTTTTAAAATTACTTGACAAAGTTAAGGTTTATTGTAAAAGTGGTTCAAGTTTAAAAATAAGAAGGTTTTGAAAAAGGGAGAAGATTTTGAAAATTTAAGAAGGGGGGAGATGAAGAGGCTACCCTAATGCATAAATTAAAAGAAAGGAAAGGAAAGATCTAACCAAGATAGCAGGATTTTGACATAAGTCAAGTCAACACTCTCATCCTTTAGATTAAAAACCAAGCAATAAAGAATAAACCAAGTCATCAAAAAGTCAACTCAAGGTCAAAGGTACCAGATGAATTCCACGGTCTCAAATCACAACTCCAAAGCAAAGGATCAAGAATCTAAATCTAAATCCATAAGGCCAACATCCAAGCGTGGGATAGTAACCAATGGTCCAAGGGATACATTAAGTCTTTTAAGGAGTT